AAACCAAACGTTTTCCATCCTGTTCGAACGTTTTACTACTTTCCACTCTCCTGCTGCGTGTTCTTGCTCTACCTCTCCTTATGAGTGTGGTCTAGCAAGATGTTTAATTTTATATATCTACCACTCTTCAGCACCTGCCGCTACCTATAATATAGATCTTTCTCTTGAACGAACCCACATGGACAGCTTTTCTCCAAGCTCCGTGATAAGCTCTCAATTTTCTATTGTTAATTTTTCCATTTCTGGATAGCAACAATCCCAACTTATGTTGTTTACATGTCGCAGTTTATTCGATATTCCAGGGCTTGTTCCCACTTTTACGGTCGCCATAGTGATCTCATTGAGAAATATTTTATTTCTTTTTGCGATGTGAAACTGGACGTGTTTGATGCTCGTTAGTTTGCCTATTAGTTGTAAACCTTGTTCATATTTGAGAAAGTGACTTTGCTTACTGGAGTTGACCAAAGTTTACATGGCGGTGTAAACTTTCAATGAAACTGGAGGCAAGGTCTTTGTGACCTTTTACGATATGCTTACAATGATTTTAGCCTTATATGAAACAAAAACAGCGAACCAAAAGTGGGACACGGATTGTTCTTTTGGGGATGCCATTAGTCTTTTGAGAGACTTTATAACCAAACTCAGCGAAGATATTGCAGTTAGAAATTCGATCATTTTCACAGAGGTTATCATCAGTGTATTTCTTCTCGGTTTTGAAAAAGGGAACATGTCAACATAACCATAACCCAAACTCAAATTCCATTTAACTAGGATAAAAAAATTAAAAAAAAAAAATTTACATGGAGAACCATGAAAAAGTACAAGGAGAAAAAGACCAGGTGTTCCGAAAGATCAAACGTCTTATGCTTCATTGACGACACCCGTAATGTAAACCTTGCTCAATCCAAGTAAATAGTGTAAAGTTCTCAATTGAGAACAAGGTACACAAAAACGGATTCTACAGGCAAACTAACGAGCATCCATTACGTCCAGCTTCATCGGCCTGCATCTTTTGAAACCCTGTTCAACGGGTTTTTCCGTCAGTTGACGACTATTGCAAGAAAATTAGAATAACTTACAACACAAAAATAAATTTCCGCGCGTTATACATGCCCAACACATTGGATATTAAAGGGAACAACGATTGATTTGGAAAGCCACTTTATTCAAAGTTGCATTTACGTTTTAATTTTAATATATGTTCTAAAATATGTAAGCATAATCTGAAAAGTTTGAACTATTCAATTCATCATAAGCCGTTAGAAAAACGTTAAATCACAAACAATAAACACCAGAAGACGATCATAGAAAAATAGGTTTATTTGATATTGTTTACACCGGACATAGGAATGTACACAGACAACACAACAGATACGACATCATACTTATATATTGTGTGCTGAACAACATAACAGATACTTATATATTGTACACTAAGATAACAAATCTTTTCGTAATATAATAGTCTTTTCTTCAAAACATTGTCACTTCATTGTTATCTGTAATCTTGTTTTTGATTATAAATGTTTATGCATATACAATATCTGAACTTAAAATTTCATTTCAGTGTAAAACACTCGACTACTTATATATAACTTTGTTGTATGTATATGACACAACAGCGTCAGATTCCTAGAACGAAGCCTATCACGGATACAGCTCCAAGCACAGGCTATAATAACACACAGACAGGTCGGTGTACTATTTCCGATAACGTTTGTTTATTATTGCTAATCCGATAAAATAGATATTGCATATTTTTTTAAAAGAAGAATCTGTTATTTATATTATAAACAAACAAACATTAAGTCTTGCAAGATTATATAATATTGTTTATATTTCAATAATTTCTAAACAACATGAATGTTAACACTGTACATGTACAATCATCCAGGAATGTTTGAAATAATTTTATAAAAATATAAGATATAATTTAACATTTTGTACTCAACATAAGATACCTGGGACTGTGGAATGGTTTTATGATAATACAAAATATATATAATTTAACATTTTGTACTCAACATAAGATACCTGGGACTGTGGAATGGTTTTATGATAATACAAAATATATATAATTTAACATTTTGTACTCAACATAAGATACCTGGGACTGTGGAATGGTTTTATGATAATACAAAATATATATAATTTAACATTTTGTACTCAACATAAGATACCTGGGACTGTGGAATGGTTTTATGATAATACAAAATATATATAATTTAACATTTTGTACTCAACATAAGATACCTGGGACTGTGGAATGGTTTTATGATAATACAAAATATATATAATTTAACATTTTGTACTCAACATAAGATACCTGGGACTGTGGAATGGTTTTATGATAATACAAAATAAATATAATTTAACATTTTGTACTCAACATAAGATACCTGGGACTGTGGAATAGTTTTATAAGAATACAAAATATAATTTAAGATTTTGTACTCAACATAAGATACCTGGGACTGTCGGAATAGTTTTATAATTTTCTGAGTTTTTTACCGAGCCAGGACGTCAATGGGCCGTCTAGAATCTAGGTTATCTAATGTACATAACGTTGAAATTACCGGAAACCGATCCCTAATATCGTGTGTGCTCTCCCCGAACAGCTTTAGCGTCTATATTTCTGCGTAATATGGAGGTCATAAGGACATTGATTGCCCGTAGAGCAAGGTAATTCATTCCACAGGGGCTATATGGAGGCTAATCACTAGGGACTGTGTTCTGGTTTTCAAGAAAGTCTCTACAAACACTAGAAACGAATGGCCTAGTGTTATCATGCTGACAGGTCAAATGGTGCCTTATAAGGAAAGGCCTCAGCAACAGGCTACAGGAGCTCATCTCGATAGTATACAGCCGTTAAATTCCCGTTAATGACCACTAAAGGTGACTTTAAACCATGTAAAATTACTCCCCAAACCATCACCGATCCATCCCCAAATTTTTCGTAATCCAAAACACGCGCGTTAGCAAGACGCTCTCCTCGACGCCGGTACACACGTTGACGACCGTCTGATAGGAATAACGTGAATCGAGATTCGGCCGTGACCGTGAAGGGCATGAACCCCCAACCCCTTATAGGGAAACGTGTAGGCACATTGACTGTCAACCATCACACACGATGAGCGGGACGTTGAGGTGTCAATGGCAAACCAGCGTACTGACGACGAGGGCATTAACTTGCCTTTTTGCAGTCAATTTCTAACAGTTTTTACATGGGTTCGACGACTGCCATTACCGTTTATATTTCGTGTAGTTTTGGCTGCCGTTAATCTCGTGTCACGCAAGTGGGCAGGCCTAATGAACCGATCTTGACGTCGTGACGTTACACGTGGACGTCAGGTCTGTCATCAACTTTTCCCGTTGAGACGTAAACCTAACCGACTTATAGCCAAGTTGTGAAGTCCGAGGTGAGTGTTGAGACCCTCTTACGGACATTAAGAGAGCCCAGCTTCTATCAAGTTTGGATAGCCGGAGCATATTTGTGAAAACAATTATTGATTACGATCACGCGTCTTGGTGATAGTTAGAAATCGACATTAATTTGATTGCAAAAGAACGCTTGTTAGTTTAGGCGCACCGGATGTGGATAATGTTTGGCTCAGATGACGGATTTTATCCACAATTATTGACAGGTTACGTAAGATGACACAATATTTCTCTACATGTTTGACTATGAGATGTTTGGAGGCGTGTTTGTTTCATAGTAAAATATACAGTATAAAAATAGCATTGCTCAGACTGTTTGGAACGTACGAAAAGTATTGCTTTTTTTTTCAGGGACAATGCCTTTACTTGGACGGATTTAACATCAGTGCAAGCTTACCAAGCCCTCAGAAAGTGCATATTTACATATGACATTTACTGAGAAACTTTTGACCATCGTTATTAAACGACAGATAAAGTTAATTCTCAAGAAGATTGTACAAACAGATATAAATTTCGCCGTTAGTGACGGATATACTGACTTCAATGACAAATCATTCGAAAGGACAGATACAGTTACTTGGTGAGAAGTGAAGAAGGACCTTATTAAACAGACGTGAGTAATAGTCTAAATGGCTTTGTCACCACACAACCAATATGGATAACACAATCTGTTATACAAAATTAGACTGTTACACTTAATTCAACAAGTATTAAATTTTCAAAAAAATGGTTTGAGGTGTTCAAGCTATTACATAAACTAATGTAGTAAATAAAAAGCTATGAACATTCCTACCTGCAAACGTAAACATAATTAACACATAGTTTATAGCATCAATTATATATATCACATAATGATTACCCAAAACAAAATTGTACAACACGCTCAGTATATGTAAAATATGCAGGACATTATTGCATTTCTGATACACGCACCAGTTTCAATATTTACTAATTCTTAAAAATAATTTTGCATTTATGTAAAATTAGGGAACACTATAAATGCCATACAAATATAATACAGAACTAGGAAGGGCAAGAATAATTTCAAATATGATAATACCATCATCCATCTCCAAAAAACAAAACTAATCACAGATTGAAATAAGTTGCACAATGTTGATGATATGCAGAACTAGTTTGAAGTTGTCTTAGACATAGCATTAACCGTGTATACATATATGTACTTAATGCATAGTAACAGAAATCATCAAACATCACCAAGAGGACAACTAATAATTCAATATAAATGTCATCTTATACTAAATTGCTAATTTGATGGCACATACCTTATATATCAATGTCTGACTTGTCGTTTGATATTGTAAGTATGGTTGTCTGTCCTTTCGTCGTCTGATATTGTACATAGGGATGTCTGTCCTATCGTCGTCTGATATTGTAAGTATGGTTGTCTGTCCTTTCGTCGTCTGATATTGTACATAGGGATGTCTGTCCTATCGTCGTCTGATATTGTAAGTATGGTTGTCTGTCCTATCGTTGTCTGATATTGTAAGTATGGTTGTCTGTCCTATCGTCGTCTGATATTGTAAGTATGGTTGTCTGTCCTATCGTCGTCTGATATTGTACATGTCAATATCCCTGCCATTGTCATATGATGACATGTTATCTTCCACTTGGTTTTTTCGTGGATTCATCGGAGGTCCGTGACTTTTAGAGCAAAATTTTGCCACCAGGATCTGTAAATAGAATAATTCAATGCGAAACAACACGTTTAAGACCTCATGAACAATGAGCATATCCGTTATCAACAATTTTTCTGTGAAAATAACGCAACAAAAATCCGTTTGTAATTAATCTAGCGATATTTTACCATGTTCACTTACTCATGTTACAATGTAACACACGAATATAACGGTAAACATCTTAGCATCAAATATCATCGTGGCTCCTACAGAAATTTAAGTGAATGGATAAATAAATATTAGCTCTTTTTTATGGACCTTTATCATTTCAGTGTAAATATTCCAAAGTTGTGCAGAACATCACATATGAATGTAAATAACTAATTTATATTACTACCCTCCAACTTTCCAGGAAGATAAGGGATGTATGTATGTATAAAGAATACAGACGATATACTCACCAGCGCGATAACGAGGACAACACCGGCAGCAATGCCAATGTACCAGTGTTGAGTAAGGAAAGCTTTTAGAGTCTGGAACACCTCTCCGTCCAATAGCAGTTTCTTTAGGGCGAGAAGAGGCCCCGTTGGGTCCACCTAACATACCAAAATCATAATCGAGAATCAATACTCCAGGGGTTACACTCACTATCACACTCTGTACCCCTTGAACCATCCTCGATACTCCAGGGTTTACGTTCACTATCACACTCTGTACCCCTGGAACCATCGTCGATACTCCAGGGGTTACGCTCACTATCACTCTTTGTACCCCTGGAGCCATCCTCGATACTCCAGGGGTTACGCTCACTATCACACTCTGTACCCCTGGAGCAATCCTCAATACTCGAGGGGTTACGTTCACTTTCGCTCTCTGTACGCCTGAAACCATCCTCGATCACTATCGCTATCAATTTCTTGACAAAATCAGGGTTACATGTGTGACGCATTGTGGTTAAGATGAGCAGATCCTTTGATGTACACCAAACAAAAATGGATGGGTGTCACTACTTTGTAATCTTCAAAGGACAGTATCAGTCTGTGATTGGTCTAGTTTTTGTCCTGAAACCCGTTGTAGACCAATTAAATTACTTTGCATGTGCCTTCATGTTTGTCAAGAAATGTTCCAGAGGTGCAGAGAGCAAAAGTGAACATAACCCCAAGAGTATCGAGGATGCAAAACCAGAGTTGCATGATGCTTCTATTAAATAGCAAAAGAAAATGACGATTTGATATTGCTTATATGAAAACAACACAGTTCTAACTCAAATGACCTCAAAATATTTACATGGATGTAGTTAAAAAGTTAGAAAAAGACAATATGTTCCGGAAGGGTTAGCGAGTTCTTTTCTCCCATGTCATATGACTGTAGATTAATTAAGTGTCTCGTTCTCAGTGTGAAAACAGCAATAAAGCAACGATACCGTTGACAAACGTAAGTTAGTATTATATGATAAGAGTATGTAATGTAAGTATATAATGTAGATATATAATGTAGATATGTAATGTAGGTATATAATGTAGATATGTAATGTAGGTAGATAATGTAGATATGTAATGTAGGTATATAATGTAGATATGTAATGTAGGTATATAATGTAGATATGTAATGTAGGTATATAATGTAGATAATGTAGATATGTAATGTAGTATATAATGTAGATATGTATGTAGGTATATAATGTAGATATGTAATATGTAATGTAGGTATATAATGTAGATATATAATGTAGATATGTAATGTAGGTATATAATGTAGATATGTAATGTAGATATGTAATGTAGGTATATAATGTATATAATGTAGATATGTAATGTAGATATATAATGTAGATATGTAGATATATAATGTAGATATGTAATGTAGGTATATAATGTAGATATATAATGTAGATATGTAATGTAGGTATATAATGTAGGTATATAATGTAGGTATATAATGTAGATATGTAATGTAGGTATATAATGTAGGTATATAATGTAGATATGTAATGTATATAATGTAGATATGTAATGTAGGTATATAATGTAGTATATGTAATGTAGGTATATAATGTAGATATATAATGTAGGTATATAATGTAGATATAATGTAGGTATATAATGTAGATATATAATGTAGATATATAATGTAGATATATAATGTAGGTATATAATGTAGGTATATAATGTAATATGTAGGTATATATGTAGGTATATAATGTAGATATAATGTAGGTATATATATATGTAGATATGTAATGTAGGTATATAATGTAGATATATAATGTAGGTATATAATGTAGGTATATAATGTATGTAATGTAGGTATATAATGTAGATATATAATGTATATAATGTAGGTATATAATGTAGGTATATAATGTAGATATGTAATGTAGTATATAATGTAGATATGTAATGTAGGTATATAATGTAGATATGTAATGTAGGTATATAATGTAGATATGTAATGTAGGTATATAATGTAGATATGTAATGTAGGTATATATGTAGATATGTAATATATAGTAGTATATAATGTAGATATATAATGTAGATATGTAATGTAGGTATATAATGTAGGTATATAATGTAGATATGTAATGTAGGTATACAATGTAGATATGTAATGTAGGTTTATAATGTAGATATGTAATGTAGGTATATAATGTAGATATAATGTAGATATATAATGTAGGTATATAATGTAGATATGTAATGTAGGTATATAATGTAGATATGTAATGTAGGTATATAATGTAGATATGTAATGTAGGTATATAATGTAGATATGTAATGTAGGTATATAATGTAGATATGTAATGTAGGTATATAATGTAGATATGTAATGTAGGTATATAATGTAGATATGTAATGTAGGTATATAATGTAGATATGTAATGTAGGTATATAATGTAGATATATAATGTAGGTATATAATGTAGATATGTAATGTAGGTATATAATGTAGATATGTAATGTAGGTATATAATGTAGATATGTAATGTATATATAATGTAGATATGTAATGTAGGTATATAATGTAGATATGTAATGTAGGTATATAATGTAGATATGTAATGTAGGTAGATAATGTAGATATGTAATGTAGGTATATAATGTAGATATGTAATGTAGGTATATAATGTAGATATGTAATGTAGGTATATAATGTAGATATGTATGTAATGTAGGTATATAATGTAGATATGTAATGTAGGTATATAATGTAGATATGTAATGTAGGTATATAATGTAGATATGTAATGTAGGTATATAATGTAGATATGTAATGTAGGTATATAATGTAGATATGTAATGTAGGTATATAATGTAGATATGTAATGTCCAAGTTTTTTTAAAATTTGAGTTTGAATTATGATTATATTGTCATGTAAGCATTTCCTTGTTGTTCAATGTAAATGAAATCAAGTCTTCTCAATAAGAACAAATATGTAACTAACATCGAACACATCTTCATATTACACAAGGAAACATGATTCTCCGGAGTAAGAGCATGATGCCATCCATAAGACTTAATACAGTCTACTTGTACGACTCAAGACACGTGGTGTGATGTTGGAAATAAGCTCTTGTGTATCGAACCAAGACGCGTGGTGTGATGTTGGAAATAAGCTCTTGTGTATCGAACCAAGGCACGTGGTGTGATGTTGGAAATAAGCTCTTGTGTATCGAACCAAGGCACGTGGTGTGATGTTGGAAATAAGCTCTTGTGTATCGAACCAAGATACGTGGTGTGATGTTGGAAATAAGCTCTTGTGTATCGAACCAAGATACGTGGTGTGATGTTGGAAATAAGCTCTTGTGTATCGAACCAAGACACGTGGTGTGATGTTGGAAATAAGCTCTTGTGTATCGAACCAAGGCACGTGGTGTGATGTTGGAAATAAGCTCTTGTGTATCGAACCAAGGCACGTGGTGTGATGTTGGAAATAAGCTCTTGTGTATCGAACCAAGACACGTGGTGTGATGTTGGAAATAAGCTCTTGTGTATCGAACCAAGGCACGTGGTGTGATGTTGGAAATAAGCTCTTGTGTATCGAACCAAGACACGTGGTGTGATGTTGGAAATAAGCTCTTGTGTATCGAACCAAGGCACGTGGTGTGATGTTGGAAATAAGCTCTTGTGTATCGAACCAAGGCACGTGGTGTGATGTTGGAAATAAGCTCTTGTGTATCGAACCAAAATACGTGGTGTGATGTTGGAAATAAGCTCTTGTGTATCGAACCAAGATACGTGGTGTGATGTTGGAGATAAGCTCTTGTCTATCGAACCAACCGTGACATACATAAATATAAAAGGAAAGGGAAGTAACTGTGTTGATCTATTGACAGATTATGTTATCAATGATCCAATGTTTTGTACCCGACTTCAGAGAAAAGTGATCATGCTGTTGATAGTGCTTGCTTGCCTTACCTCTCGGCACACTTGGAATACGTCACAATACCCTTTGTAATTATTACACGGACTTCCTGACACTGATTTTGTGGCAGTGATAGAAGGAATATCGGTGGTGGACCTGTAAACAACATATAATCGTGGGATTATTGTAACATGGTAGTAGTCTACAGGTTATAGAGAGAAAAGTGAACCATTGTAACAGCATTCTAGAAGGAATGTAAGTGACGAACTTGGAAACATAAAAATGAGATATTTATACCAGGAATATAGTCTTCAGACACTAGTAACCTTACTAAGATAATTGATTTGTAAGAATCAATTTCTGAAGAAGCTTAAATCAAATAGCGATGCGTCTTACTTGTTATTTTTCAATAAAAGGCTCTGATTATAACTTTCAGAAACCGTATGCCTTCAGAATGAGAATATTCGATCCCAGCGAGTGAGTACACAAATGTACTTTAAACGTCGCTGGTTCAATACTATACATAAGCGGGAGTTTTCTGTATGTATCCAGTTAAAATGATCTTACATTGGTCCGGAGACAAGGGTATCTCAAACTGAGTGTAAGTGTTTGGCTGGTCAGCACGAAGATTGCCGACCCCTACTCAAGGGTTGGGATATTTTTGTCCATTGCATTGCACCATCATCAATGGTCCATGAAATATGCGTCGAAATTGACGATATTATCAATTTACGACATAGATACGCTACATAAAATGATGACGTTATCAATTTGCGACATAGATACGCTACATATGATGTCGCTATCCCATTGTGTGTGACATTGTACTGGAATGCACATGCGAAATATGGGAGAAAAATTGATCTTGATAAATGTGTATGCATGTGAAAGGAATTACAGGTTTAATATGCTACATACGTGCTGTCGGACATTAAAAAAGAGATTTTTCTAAAATCGAATTGATTAAAATGTATGACGTACGTGCAGATAGAGTTGTACATGCAGCACACCTGGCAGAGTTTTTCATCCTTCCAATCATCAGCTGTGGTAGGACTGCACTGACAGGCCTCCAGACTGTGGGCAAGACAAACGGAACCAGAGCATTCCTAGATAAGAAAACCAGGAATAACAGAAACGGTTTATTATCGGTGAAAATTTCAATCATGAGTAGAGAATAAAACCCGGTGTCCCATAAAATGTTCACCCCTGTAAAATACTCATCCAGATAAATATTTTATATGGAATAATCCAAAAAAGACCGTCTCAATATTACATACAATACACTTCAGCTTGTCTGACAAACCATACCAGAGATTATATCTAGTATCATTGGATATGAAATATCGTATATGAGATATATTGTATAGTACATGAAGGAAGCTTTATAGTATATGATAATTCTAATGGCATGTCTTATATGGTAAATGTTGTATCTTATATAGGAGATGGGATATCTACATGCTTCAATGAGTAAGTATCATGATTATGTAATTTACCCTTCATTATATTTTCTTCTATTAACTTCCTGTTGTAACCTCCGTAAAACTGTATGTTGCTATATAGCACTGTGACTTCACTTTATACATGGATGTTTGGTTTATTGATGTTATATGTCCTATTAACAGCCAGGATCATTTAAGGACGTGTCAGGTTTGGTGTATTGTGTTTTATGTCCTATTAACAGCCAGGGTCATTTAAGGACGTGTCAGGTTTGGTGTATTGTGTTTTATGTCCCATTAACAGCCAGGATCATTTGAGGGCGTACCAGGTTTGGTTTATTGATGTTATATGTCCTATTAACAGCCAGGGTCATTTAAGGACGTGCCAGGTTTGGTTTGGTGTATTGTGTTTTATGTCCTATTAACAGCCAGGATCATTTAAGGACGTGCCAGGTTTGGTTTATTGTTGTTTTATGTCCTATTAATAACCAGGATCGTTTAAGGACGTGCCAGGTTTGGTTTGGTGTATTGTGTTTTATGTCCTATTAACAGCCAGGGTCATTTAAGGACGTGTCAGGTTTGGTGTATTGTGTTTTATGTCCTATTAACAGCCAGGATCATTTAAGGACGTGCCAGGTTTGGTTTATTGTGTTTTATGTCCTATTAACAGCCAGGGTCATTTAAGGACGTGCCAGGTTTGGTGTATTGTGTTTTATGTCCTATTAACAACCAGGAACATTTAAGGACGTGCCAGGTTTGGTTTATTGTGTTTTATGTCCTATTAACAGCCAGGGTCATTTAAGGACGTGCCAGGTTTGGTGTATTGTGTTTTATGTCCTATTAACAACCAGGAACATTTAAGGACGTGTCAGGTTTGGTGTATTGTGTTTTATGTCCTATTAACTGCCAGGATCATTTAAGGACGTGTCAGGTTTGGTGTATTGTTGTTTTATGTCCTATTAACTGCCAGGATCATTTAAGGACGTGCCATGTATATTGATAGAAATCATCTCTATTATGAAATCAAGTAATGGGTGACCTTTAATGCGATCCGTTTCGTTCCAGATAAATGAACTATTAGCAATAATAATGAACGCCTGATGAGATGAAATGATCAGACCTCCCCAGATACATTTGACTAAACCATTGAAGGACCGACAGACTGATCCTTCTCTGCTTTCAATATAACAATACAATATCTAGATTTAGTAATTCGTAACCATCGGCAGTCGTTGCTGAACATATTTCCTATATTAAACATAGGACCACCATTATTCTGAACAAGAAGCAATGTTCAAGTTACATTGTTCAAGCAAAATGAACAAGATGAAAAGCCACCAACATAAACATGTATATTTGATTGTTATGATATACCCACAAAACACGGATAATACTGCACTCGGCGACTAAGTTAATATAGGAAGTACACAACTGTTCAAATCATACGGTAAATGTTCCTCCGTTTCTGTAGAAAATGTTTGATTTCCTGAAGAATAAACCAGCCGTATCAAGCAGGTTTATTCAGCAATCGGCAGACACTGTTCTGCATATTAATTTGTTATTGCAATGCAAATTGATTCTAAACTAATGTTTGCTTTTATCTAAACCAAATTTTTATTGATATGTCCTAACTTTTTAATAAATATGTATGACACGTTTATTATATATATGATACGTTTTATATATCTATATTCAAATCAATTCACTTTTGTGATGCTCACCCCTAGATAGCAGACCTGCCCGTCTGCGCATTCCGTTCCGTTAGCAGCGGAGGCAGAAGCAGGACAACTTGCTGATGATCCGGTGACGAAAGTCAAGAAAACTACTTAAACAAAATCATAGATGCAACTCATATCATAAAAAACTGTTTTTAATACAAATGTTATTTAGGAAAACTTTCTCAGAAGATTATCAAGATTCTGTGATTTTGATGTATGACTAAAGGATATTCGCACAGCGCCTCAGCCAAACAAGAACTGTTGGACCGACACACATGATTCTCCCCAGACGTGTACAGTGTACAGGACGGACTGCAACATGGACCCTCACTCGGACTGAAACATAACAGTTAATAACAAAAACGTGTTTGGTATTATTCTAATTATTAGAAACAAATAATTCATTAACATTTGCATCTCTTTTAGTCATGATAACTTTCATAAAATCGGGACATTGCTTTCAGATAATAGGATTAAGGGAAAACTTCAAACACAAACAACTAATGAAATAATGGCAAATCATGTTTGAAAGAATTATTAAGAAGGAGGCTCTTGAAGTATCAGTGTCTTCTACTAATAGGTCAATATATTGGGGGGGGGGGAAATGTTCTCAATGCGAACTAAGGATAAGGTTTACTGTATCAGATGGAAGTGTATTAAGGGTGATGAATGCTGGACAAGATGACTGTGTATTAAGGGTGATGAATAGCAGACGAGATGGCGGTGTATGAAGGGTTTGGTATTGGGTTAGATGGAAGTGGATTAAATATTAGGTTAACTGTATCAAATGGAACTGGATGGAAATTTACTTAAATGGTAATGGTATGTGTACCTGCAGGAGGAAGCAGAAGCGTTGACTTTGGTACAGGGCGTTCCCATGGGGTTAGAGGACTGGGGATTACAACAGGCCTCCGTACAGGTATCAGACCAGCCACAATCACACTCCTCCCCGGACTCCACCACGTTGTTTCCACAAATAGGAACACCCGATACTGATAATACATTTTGTATCATCGATAATTAGATAGCTTTTCCTGAATTTCTCTACATCATTTATATCTCATTGTCTAATATAAATCACGATCCCATTTCTCCCATGAACACGTGCTACTTAAAACTTTACTTTCTCCTCCCGAATATTGTTCTAATGACGGTGATTGTGTTGTAATTGGAATGTCACACATCATTTTTGTAAAGGGTTTTAATATATTGAAGTATGAAAATCTATTCATACTTTTCCACAATGAATAGGAAGCTATTTTGATAATTCAGTACAAAAGAGTTGGATAAATAGGATTTTGTTTTGTAAGAAGTGAAAAAAATGAAAAATTACATTTTTCATCATTATCATTATCTTTGTAATAATTTTCTTATTTCACCCACAAAATTAAGGGTAATACAGGAATTTTACTGTATGGTTTTATTTCATTTATATCGGTAAGGTACATTGACTAAATATAACTTTTCATTTCCATATTTATTTGATTTACAATGTAAAGATACGTTTATGACAGCAAAGGTAGTAAAAAGTCAATGTATGAATAATACACGAACAAATTAATTAGATGTCATTGCGTATCGTTCATGGTTTCTTTCTCGTTATTAATGCCACAATAAATTCATTGTGAAAATCGATCCCATTAAATCAATCGGTGAAATATTTTGTTTACCTTTGAAGCATCCATTGGACGTTTCCCGGGCTTTTGCGTCCAGAATTGGGGACATGTAATCAACGCTACAAGAGGAGAACATCTGGTTGTTTGCTTCATACCCGGATGTAGCCCGAGGAAACATGATAAAATTGCCGCCATTTCCACTCCCCGGTGTGCACGTCCCTTGAGATTCAGGATCGTGCTGGGCAGAGTAAACATACATGAACAGGTCAACATTTACAAACTGGATTGGTGAACCACTTCATTTTCGGAATGATATATGGTATGTTTATAAATATGTTCCGTATTAATTAGTTACAAATAAAAAAAGATGTAGTAATAGGTTATTTTTGTGAATCTAAAACATCTTGATCTGGTGCCACTTCTGGAGGTTAAAACTTTTGGTGTTATGGTCCATTATAAAGATCACGGAGCTCATTATTCATTTCAATGCTAAGATTCTAATCCATGACCTCTGAGATACTAAATTGACTTCCAACTGATCGAGTTGGATAAGCTCTCTCTTGCCGAGCGGTGTATTGCGGCAATACGGTTAGTACACTGTTCTATTTCCCATTTAGTTTGGCTGAGGTTTCTTCTTTCAAGCTTGATTTCAACACTTTTCCTCTATCACTAATGTACAATATGCAGTTTCATTCATTGTTGCTCTTGTTCGAACGTATCATTCACATCTTCATCCATCATTGCTGAATCATGTAGTTATATATCATATCAGTGTTCTAAAGTTAAGAAAGCGGCTAATAACGTCCTAATTACTGGACACAGTGTTATTGTTTTCATTGTCTATACCCAGTAGAAGTGCTTCAATCATACTTCTTTGTCATTGAAATAGAAGATGTGAAAGTGATCACTACGTTTTTGTTTTATTTCGAAATTAATACTGTGAAAAAGCAGATGTCACTACTTATCTAAAACTCTTTGAAATACTTTTGCACTTGAATTTATTGTTACGTTAAGTATCCTTTCTTCAGCGCTATCATACTAATCACACTGGTTAATGGCATTACCTATTGTCTAAATTATTTATATTGTCTAAAGCTATTCATTATGTAGAAGTAATCGCTGCAGACAAGTAATTATACCATTTTTTTCGTACATAATTTGTGTTTCAGAAAGGACACGGTCGTCTTGTCTTCTCTTATAAGACGTGTTTTATCCTATAGTAAATTGTGCCTAAGATAGTATTAAACATGGATAAACAGCCTAAATAATTCTTCATATATATACAAATATGGCTGGTTAATGACCAATAAGATAACATAAAGATAAATTAGATTTTTTAATGATATCTTGAGATTGAATATATGCAATAACCAATGAAAATTTCAACTTGAAGATAACTCACAACTGATAACATTGCTTTACCTATATATTGTTCAACTTGATAATCAAAGATGTGTCACATATTACTACCGTTTAGTGGTATCATTTCTTCATGAGAGTCGCAGACGCGTCAAATATAATTTTCCCTTAGTCAAAATCGAGATCTATTTTACTTTTCTATATGTCAAAATTGTGTCTAATTTGTTTTACCTACGAGTCAAGCATGTCTTATATTGTGTACTCTGAAGTAAAAATTGAGTGTTATTTTGTTTTCTACCATAACCTGCGTATGTTATCTCACGACAAGACTATCCATTAAACACCATATCCATTGTTTATTCATACGCATAATACACACGTGTATTATTAGTGATAGCCAAATCTATTGGACGAAGCATTGACATTTGACCCAGCCATGATCTGTGACCCCGAACTACTCGTGTCTTTTCAAAATTTGAAAATTAATTAACTCGAGTTAGATAACGATGATAATCAACCGTCACTCGTTGTAGAACCTCTATTTAACCAATATTGTGTTCTATATTGCTTTGCATAAAAACCATTGTTGCGTCCTTTTTGTTTAACATGACAGCAAAAGTCGTGTTTTATATTGCTTGACCTAAACACCATTGTTGTTTCGAATTTGTTTAACAGGACAGCAACAGGTATGTCCTTTATTGTTTTACCTTAGAGCCAAAGTTGTGTCCTACTTCATGAGCGAAGGTGGCATGTGATACAGACGAGGGCACATCTTTGGCGTAGTTACGCATTGTTACCAGCGCTGTGTTCAGACTTTTAGTCTCACCTTGGTAAGTCTACAATACAATAGTCTCTGGTCACACAGTTTGTAGAGCTCATTGGACCTGATCTAGTTTTTTTCACTGTTTACTCAGCAATCATGATTGGTAACACATGAATGTCAGCAATGTTAATGGATGACATGCCAAATGTGTTATGAATCACTATTGATGCAAAATGATATTGAAAGGCATGTATTATCAAGTTAATATTATGAACACCAAGTAGGAATAAAATGGGCTGCCAACCTACCCCGGATATCTCACATACTCCTCCGGCAAAACCCAGCTCTGCCGTCCAGGCCAAACCGAGGACGCCGTTAAAATCCCTATTGGTAAAGAGGATTGCGAGACAGTAGTCGTTGTAGTTCTCTCTTGAATGTTGGTCCAAGAGGCTCTCTACACTGTACTGGAGAGGGAAGGGATACCCAGCCGCGCTCGGGTCGTTGTATATAGTCACTCGCTTTATCTGGAATTGTATACTGTCTGGGGAACCATCACCGTCAAAATCTGAAAAAGGAAACTTTTGTTTTATATTTCTATGTGTTTAAACATTTTGTTTAATATATTAAGGTCAGATTCCTGCACAACTACAATTACTGGACTAATGAAATAGTTCAGAACTAGACTGAGCATTGACGCTGAGTAAACATTTGATAATTGAGACGTCACGTGGGGTTTTAGAAGCACAGATAATTAGTCTGGAGTTTAGTAAGCTATGAGACGACGTGTGTACAGTGGACAGCTAACATTACATATAAACATAAAGCTGGACAGAAGAAACAGGCCAGTATCAGCTGCTTACGGGGGTAATTTTGGGATTATACGTTCGGGGCTAATTACAGTTATGATTATATTATAGATTGTATTGCTATGCGACTTGGTGAATACCCTGAACAACATTAGTTATTATTCTGCCAGTGTCTGTTTAAGCAGCTATTGTAACACTTTAAATAGTATATATATATATATACGAAATATGATTTAACATTATCATTTTATTTAAATTGTTTGGATGCTTTGAGTTATTGATCCATATAATAAACATATTTCGTCAATTTCACTTAGAAATTTCAGTAAATATAAACCAATGACAATGAAGTAACACCCAAAGTTGATAAAAAAAACTGTATGGAATTCATACCACGGAGTAACAATTTAAACATACTACCAAATGGAAAAATATGAGAGCGAATTTTGGTGGAATGTCGCATTTTATTTCAAGAAAGAAATATTTTGTGTGGTTAAACGGATTTTATTACTGATGTAGACAGTTTTAAAGTATTGTACCTATTTTCTTTTACAGGGCCTAAATGTCATGGTAAGAGTAAGTTATCAAAATTGACCTCCAAGAAAGTCAGACGCGTGTTTCCATGTTATATCTTTATACATCATATTTCAATCATAAAACGAACACCGATATTACTATTCGACATGCGCTTTTCATTTTGTTTTTTTATTGTTCTGGAATTAATGGATCTTACTGCAAGTTGAGGTGGTTTAGCTGCTCACCTATCAAATTGAATATATTATTAGATGCTTGTACATGATTCGTCATTTGTTCTAACACAGCGTCGTAAGTAGAAAACTTATTGTAGAAAGTGTGGTCAGCTTTTAGATACAGTTCACAAACTGTTTTGGTCGGGTCAACAGATCGCCTCTGTCTCCCTGATTGTCGGTAGCGATCCGACCATTTCTCTGTTGGTTCATGAAGCAGTCCACGCATTTCTTCTGACTTCCGGTGTTTCATGAGCTTCCGGTGAAGTTCATCAGATTTGCACATACTATCTTTGGTGTTAAGTAATACATCAGACGATCTACGACATAAAAACACAATAAGGATGGGTTAGATAGTAGTTTCATACTGCTCGATAATAAACTGTGTCCGTGACAATTACATAATACAGATAATGTCACGTTATAAAATATTATTCAAGCATATATCGCGAAATCTGGATATTATATAGTATGCCTGGTTAAAAAAAATGATTGAAAGTCATTGACAAATATTCTTTTATTTTTCTCAGGACAGAAAACATTAGTAAAACATTTTTATGTTATTTAAATTCATTTTACCTGTAAATAATTGAGCTGAAATTTGTCAATTTTGTAAAATGTCTTTTGGAACCCTCTATGTTATACGTTTCGTTAGGGTAGTGAAGATGACCTTCAAAGTGACCAGTCGATGTGACCACTCCATAAATTTTGCTTCCAGTATCATCTGTAAAATTTACAACAAATATAAACCTTTACTTAATACAAATATATAAATCAATATGCAAGCGTATACCGAAAAGTGTTACATATACATTTATTATTTATTATATACTTACAATGTATGTAATTGATATATGTTCAGGAAAGATTTTTTCCGGATTGTACAGCAGACTCATTAGACCCATTGTTTGACTCGTCAGTGATTCGAAGGTCTTAAACTATTGAAACCTATAGGCTACTGCGGAAAATCAGTGTTAGAAAAATGTAACGTTAGAAATAAGATAGGAAAGGTGCGATTAACCAATACTCAATACTTCAGAACGTGTATTTAATTTAGATTATGCCAACATTCAATAGAATTAAAATGTGACATGCTGGGTACGGTAAACTTTAAGGACTAAAGCCCGCCAGAAGATTCAATCACCTACAATGTCTAAGGACTGTACATTTACTACAAACAAACCTTCATCTGATCCGACATAAGCACCGGATGCTTTGTGTTCTATTTTTCCGATGGAGCTCTCGAAAATTACATTTGGCGCAAACAAATTAATGTTTGGACGAAGCTTGAGACGAAAGTCCCTGAAGATGTATAAAGAGAAAAGTTCAAATGTTCCTTAGATATATATATATAAAAAATCTTCGTTTCCTGTTTCAGCGATATATCGCAGAACAGTAGTTTTTCTTTCAAACCATCTTCCCACATATAAAGTGGAATCCACATTTAGAGATTGTCTTTTGTTCTTGTTTCATAACCAAACATATGAAACAATAACATATCGACATTTATCACATAGAAAATATGTTACACGATGAGATGATAAAATATACATTTACACATTTTGCAACAAAGTATATGGCAAAATATTTACAATTTAAAGCTTCAAAATATTTACACCCCAATGTATTTAAAAATATTTATATCTTTTTATGAAACGTGAGAAAGTGGTTTCTCGAAGTTCTTCTTAGATATACCTGTTGAAAGCCCTGAATGTGAGCCGAAGTCCGTCCTCCGTCCCCCGCCGTACTCTGTGATGGTCAGCTAACAAGACATGACTGTCAAAATGGACAGGTTCATAATATCGGATATCACTGTTCAGGGGGACAGCTGGAACACAACATTTGAATAGAAATATATCAATTATATATAGAATCAGAATGACTTTAACTGTGTCATACAAATGTTTCGTCCTTCTAAGACTCATCAGTAACACCAAGGGCCAATCCTTAGATTTTTTATTTGTAATTTGCATCCGTATAATTGTAAAAGTTGAAATATGGATAATGGATTCAAACATATGATAGATTGTGAGACAAAAGCAAAATAATAATAAAAATAAAAAACTGAATATGAGAAAGTACAAAATGGACTAGGCCGGATCTTCTGAATCATTTAGCTCCTCTTGACTTTTACAAGGTCAGATCCAAGAAAAAAACTATGAACTCGAATTTCAATAATATCTGTCTAATCTGATATTCACCAGCCATCAAAGAACAAACACACATGACCTAAAATTGAAAGTTTTACTGGTCTGTCATATGAGTAAAGGCAAATCACCACTGTCATGGTAGGAACATAAATCTTAGTTTGCAAAGAAAAGACTCAATAGTTTAAAGGGAAAGTATTATAATTCTCCCTAGATAACACAGATTATGTCGTATGGAATATGATATATGGTGGAAACAAGAATTGGTTATCATTCAAATCCATTTGCTTCCTTCCATTTTATGTGTGCTTTAGCTTTCTGATTTGATAAAAGCCGGTGATTCTGTAAATCTCTCAGTTTCCTGAAATAGCATTGATTTTATAGTCGTTTATGTAAATGTCAGACCTGTGAGTGAGCTGAGAAAACAATATTATCATAGAAAGCTATTTGATCAAGGCACCTGGTTAGAACTGATCATAAGTATGATAAGGAGGTGAAGTTGTAACCATTACTTTTAATACTATTTCTACCTATAAACCAACCTCCCCATCTAGATTCTGACATTCCTCTCGATCATTTTGGATTTTACCTACCTTACCATCTATATTATGACATTCTTTCGATCATGTTGGATTTTACCAACCTCCCCATCTAGATTATAACATTTCTTTAGATCATGTTAGATTTTAACAACTTCCCCATCTAGATTATGACATTTCTTTAGATCATGTTGGAATTTAATAACCTCCCCATCTAGATTATAACATTTCTTTAGATCATGTTGGAATTTAACAACCTCCCCATCTAGATTATAACATTTCTTTAGATCATGTTTGGATTTTACCAACCTCCCCATCTAGAGTATGACATTTCTTTCGATCATTTTGGATTTTAGCTATCTCCCCATCTAGATTATGACATTTCTTTCGATCATTTTGGATTTTTACCAGTTGCCTCCTGAGTTTAAAAATTTAGACCCATGGCATCACTAATGAATCCTTTTTTTCATTTTTAACTATTTTCATCATGCCATTCAATACAATACAAATCTCTATATGCCCAATTGGTAATATTGAACCGACTAGATGTATCTGAAAAATATTATGATAAAGTAGATGTTTATAATCCTGTTGTACTGAACTGATACGAATTACTGGAAAACGTATAAAAATGAACAGCAGGAGTATAGAATCTGTGTATTTTAACGTTTTTCAACATTTGAGAAGATCTCCTTCTTATACAAAAATATCAATGGTCACTTCTAATTAGTGTTTTGATAGCACAAAAAACACGACATTATTTTATCAGATAGGTTAAATTATCCTATTAAAGGAGAGTCGGGCATGCTCTAGATGCTACAGATCTTATAATATCACATTTCGGGCCATTCTTGTGTCAGTATTCTTTCATTAAGAAAGAATGAATGGAAGGAGACTTCCTACATCACATCTGTTTGAAAAGATTTTGATAATGATATAAAGAATTTTAAAACCTTTTAAATCATACGTTAGTTGATATGTCTGCCACACTTGGTTGGAATTATTCGACTCCTAAGGAATCACTTAATCAATACAACAGTTGTATGAACATGCATGTTACACTACATGTGGTATATCAAATTAGCATGTTTTGACAGGCTAACAGGATGAACTTTGACCGCAATGGCACTTCATACACACCCGGAAATTAGAGAGCGCAATTATTAGTTCACGATTGTTTTGTAATAGTGTGATGACAGTTTTGCGTTTTAATCAGCAATTTGTCACTTAAAGCGAAAAGTTTTTGTTTTTTTGTTTTTCATATAGCTTTAGAAATCTAACGAATGAGAAAAATATGATCTATCACAAACCTTCATGTTGTTACCTCCTTATACACATTAAAAGGACAATTTGATCCAGCTTACCATTAAACGAATTTTGCTATGATTCTATACACACTAAAGATATAACAGACTATGGATTCTGGAAGCTCATCAAATATAGAATACCCCAAGAGTACTAGGGAAATTATGGGAAAACAATCTCATTTATCTTATCGACTTATTTATTTATTGTCATAGTAACAATATCAACAATATTCGAAAATACCCATACATAATTTATAAAAAAAACAACAAATATCGACCGACATATTGTTCCTCAGGCAATGGCTTTACATTGTCTTTATCGCATAACAAACTGCAATTATAAAAATGCATACGTTTTGTTTCAACATTAGTCAGATCAATCGAATGTTCTATCAGATATCTGGGACTTAGTATTGTAAATGTATAAATGTGTCTTAACCGATGCATGTGATATAGTGTTTTAAACGTGTACTTCTCTTTGTCGCCGGTCTCCATCTCTGTCACGGTTTGTACAATCAACCTAAATATAGGAACCGTATGCTTATATACAGTTTCATATGCTCTGTACCATAAATAACTGAGATCACTGAAGTGTAACTGCGGACACGGCTGTGATTTTAATGTTATATTTGTGCTTCGTAAAGTTTGTAATGGAGAATTATATATAGAGAGATCAATATCAGTCACTAAAATATCAACCGTTGTGGGAACGGAACTAGGAACTAAGAACTGGGAACCAACTTCAGGCTCCCTATCGTTTTTAGCACGTTTTCCCTTTTCCCTTTATATCTTAATACAACTGTATGTGAAGACGTTTGAGTCTAATGATAATATTACTATTTTTTAATCACCCGATATTGTTACTGGAAGACAACAGCTGACACACTTCATAGTTTCCTTTGACAAGATTTTAACCGCCAGTGGAAAGCATAGATCAAATTTCTCTAGTCTTTTCACTATAGAAAAAATATCTCACAATAGAAAACTGAGAAAAGGTTAAGCTTTGATCAAACTGAAATGTATTGACATGTTGGTATATTCTTGATTATATCTGAAAACTCAAATAACTTTCACCAATTCAGCTGCAATTGATAAAATGATGTATCCGACGTTCCAGGAGAATAAGACGTGATGTTCTAAAAGGATAAGCGTCTTTTGATTCACTGACGACACTGTCCCAATTAATGAAATATAATAAATGTCTCGAACTCAAAAGTTGATGTAGACAATCACCATAAAAACTTCGAAGTTACGTAATTGGTTGAAAGAATGACATATCACGCGTATTTGCAAAGATATCGTAAGTGTACATGTGACTATTTCATTTACATCAAGCTGTTCGAAAGTTTTTAGAAATTTTGTATAGCGTTTAAGCGACTGCAACAAGTCACCGTGTCAAACGAATTACCGGTAAAATGTGAAGTGAGGAATTAAGGAAAAGTCAAGTGAACAGGTAAACACACGTATGTTATCTTGGTTAATTAATCAAAGTGCTTATTCCATTCTCTGGTGTCTTTATCCTTTTACCGACTCAAATTGAATTCTTAATCAATGTTTGTTTACCCCTATTCTATCATTATACATATTCATTCCTCGATATTGGTACAAACAGATGTAAATGGATTTTGTTGTTTCAGATATCGTAAACAAATATTGAATTTTCATTTGCTTTGTTAGATATACATCAATTTTCTTTCGGACTGAAAAAAACTGTCAAGGAATATTTCAAAGTGAATAAGATTTTTTAAAAAGATGCAATAGCCAAGTTTGCATTTGTTTATTCTTACTGGGAAATTGAAAGATAAGAAGATATTACAAATTGTTCAGCTACGTGTACGGGATTTCAGCATTTTTTAAAGAGTAGTGTTATCATTTGTAATCGAGAACAATATATGTATAAATTAACGAGATCCATAATAGGAAAACATTTAATAGTTTTACACACAACACCAGGAATCAAACGGAAATTATTTACCACCATGAAGTTTAAGGAAATTAAACTTATATTATTCTGAGTAAGAACAACATTTCATGGGGAGATGTATGAAATATATGTATGTATGTTATATACAAAAATCAGATTGCTCTATATAAACCAACAATAACTATGTTGCATATTAATTGGTTTTTAATGAGTGATTTATCAATCCTGAAACTATTTGTTATACACACGTTAAATGATCATACTGTAGAAATAGTTTGTGTTTTCTTTTTGTTTGTGAAATTAATTACAAACACACGCTGTCAAAATCAATACTTGTAGCAAGCGTTTGAATAGAACGGTGAATGTCAGCATGTTAACTAAAGTAAATTCCAGTCTTAAATAGGTCAACACTAAAATAGCGTTTGGTATCGACGATAATGTTCGGTGAAACAAACCAATAACGGTTTGTCTTATGTACAGTCAGCTTAACTTGGTAGCTTTGAAGTTATTGTTGTATGTAAATGCCCAGTGATCTTCATGTTTTTGTCTGAACGAAAAGTTTCAAGTATGGCAGAGCACTGTGGGTAGAGAAGTTGATTGACCAACGATTTACATGGTGAGTCTCGTCGATGAAGCAGGAGCGGCTTTATTTTACGGAACATGTGGAACGGAACGGAACGAAGCATTTGTAAATCATTGTTTTGCCTTAGTTTCATTTTATTTGAGTTTGAATTTCGTTTTTGTTGACATGTCGTTGTTGTTGTTTTGCTTATAAATTGTTTTTATTGTTGAGGAAATGATTCGGTTGTAAAAGACCTACATTTTTATGTAATTGTAGCTATTCAATAACTTCGCAATATCTAGATGTTATCATGTTCAACATTAACCCATATTATGTATGTTTAGGGGGGAATTCAACAGCAATATCAATGGCAAGAGCGTGTTGGAATAAGGAATTAATATTTCATTGAAATTAGTGTTGTGAATAGACATGCCACGTGATCTCAATTACAAACACCATTTTGAAGCATTTTAATTGAATGTGTTTGGTGGTTTAAATCAAATGAGAAATTCTCTACGGTGTCAGTGAAATGTGTCAGCTTACAAATCGGTTTCTGTCATAAATGACCAAACAGTTTGTTAGACCGTTATTTTACCCAATAAGCTGGTAATCCAGGTATACTATTTTTTTATCACTAATGCCTTCATTGATTCTTCAGGGTTTTCATAAGCTTTATAAGTGGTACCAAGCTTGTTTCTACAATGATAGAATTGACCAAGGTGTAGATGACTGGTCAGACGATGCTTTCTCTTTCGGAATTTTTTGTCATATTATCGTTGTACTGTTTCGGGAGTCTTCTTGTAAATCTGTCTTTACCAACGATTTTTGAATTTGAGTTTGGACATATTACATTGCAATCTCCTGTTGTTTTTTAAGTCACTTCTTCGTGAAATTTAGTATTTGACGTCTCAATCAGACCAGACAAGACGTTTCAAACAAGTATTTGACGTTTCAGTTAGACCAGGCAAGACGTTTCAAACAAGTATTTGAAGTCTCATTTAGACCACACAAGGCGTTTCAAACAAGTATTTGACGTCTCAATGAGACCAGACAAGACGTTTCAAACAAGTATTTGACGTCTCATTTAGACCACACAAGGCGTTTCAAACAAGTATTTGACGTCTCAATGAGACCACACAAGGCGTTTCAAACAAGTATTTGACGTCTCAATGAGACCAGACAAGGCGTTTCAAACAAATATTTGAAGTCTCATTTAGACCACACAAGGCGTTTCAAACAAGTATTTGACGTCTCAATGAGACCAGACAAGACGTTTCAAACAAGTATTTGACGTCTCAAATAGACCAGACAAGGCGTTTCAAACAAGTATTTGACGTCTCAATGAGACCAGACAAGACGCTTCAAACAAGTATTTGACGTCTCAAATAGACCAGACAAGACGTTTCAAACAAGTATTTGACGTTTCAATTAGACCAGACAAGACGTTTCTAACAAGTATTTGACGTTTCAATTAGACCAGACAAGACGTTTCTAACAAGTATTTGACGTTTCAATTAGACCAGACAAGACGCTTCAAACAAGTATTTGACGTCTCAAATAGACCAGACAAGGCGTTTCAAACAAGTATTTGACGTCTCAATGAGACCAGACAAGACGTTTCAAACAAGTATTTGACGTTTCAATTAGACCAGACAAGACGTTTCTAAGAAGTATTTGACGTTTCAATTAGACCAGGCAAGACGTTTCAAACAAGTATTTGAAGTCTCATTTAGACCACACAAGGCGTTTCAAACAAGTATTTGACATCTCAATGAAACCAGACAAGACGTTTCAAACAAGTATATGACGTCTCAAATAGACCAGACAAGACGTTTCAAACAAGTATATGACGTCTCAAATAGACCAGACAAGGCGTTTTAAACAAGTATTTGACGTCTCAATGAGACCAGACAAGACGTTTCAAACAAGTATTTGACGTCTCAAATAGACCAGACAAGACGTTTCAAACAAGTATTTGACGTCTCAATGAGACAAGACAAGACGCTTCAAACAAGTATTTGACGTCTCAATGAGACCAGACAAGACGCTTCAAACAAGTATTTGACGTCTCAATGAGACCAGACCAGACGTTTCGAACTTAAGTGATGGTTCACACGATATCTAAATACCGATAGTGTACTGGTATATCTATTGTGGAACAATCCTTCTAAATCCCCGCGAATTACGTTACAAAAATATTTAAGTTTTTAACATCTTACCATTCTCAGCTTGAAATGCATCCTAGAGAAACAAGACAACTATATGACAATTGATTTTGTTATCTATCCGGCATTTCTTAATTAAATGTTACATATAAAATTGTATATAAGTACTTATCATAAGCCATGACTTACCTACGATTCCGTGTGTACAGAAGATGACCACTACCAACGCCACAGTCAATGTCTTTCTCGTGTTTGTTGACCAACATTCCATGCTGATACACACTTTGTTACCTAATGCTTCACTATAAACCCACGGTATCGATAGTCAGACATGAATGTATGAATGACTTCCCATAAAAATCATTCCATCAGTTAGCGCCATGCTATATACCTGATACATGTTATTCTACCTCAGGTGTCGACAGGTAAAATAAACAGCCAATGTACACGATAAATGCAGTCACTAGTTATCTGTTTTTAAATGTTTAGAAAATCCATCGTTTATGAATTATAGATCCTCTTTAGAGTGTCCTCTGAATCGCCTGACTGACATGCGCAGTAAGCTATGGAATAGGTACAGTGACAAGAACACATAATATGTATATATATGTATATATATAAACGGGGATACTTTCACGTTCAATAGCATGGAAGGTCAGAGTTATTCATTTGTAACGATTTCTGCTAGTCAATAAAGATGTTAATATAATGACACGGACACTCACAGTAAAGAGTCTGCCTGTACAAATATCGATAGAGTACGTTATAAATTATCAGTATCGGGGACATTTAAGTGTACTACGGTTATATTAGTTAAGATCATGGACAGGTGAAGTAGCATACCTGTCCTAAGGTATAGCCACATACCTGTCCTCGTGCTATACTTACTATAGATCACAGGTAAAATCGATAAGATGGCTCGGTAAAGGTAATGGGATGAAAGGTAAATGGAACCGACAAACAATCGATTTTATTGATCCTGGTATAAAGCATATATTTATATTTACCATGACATCATCGATGATGTAAATGAAAACACCGTTATTTTTGTAGACCGTTAATAATCACACGTTCATGGCGTTTATATAAGACCGTTTGCCATATTAATCGGTTAATTGCGGGGAGTCTATGTTAGAGAGCATTTTGTCTACCGTCTATACAGGGAAAACGATGGTATGGCAACATCACTCATGCATATAGTATAGTATGTTGTGTGATCTAATCACGAAACAGATTTAAGGAATCAATAGCATTCAATGGCAGTAAATTTAATTTTTGTTCCTGCAAACACAACGTCATCAATATAACCATCAGCAGTCTCCTTTTCGCGTAGAAGATCGTATTGAAGAGAACACCATTCCAGCTTGAGTTAAAACACAGCATTTTATATTAGATAAATCCGGTGAAAAGTTTTAAGTTTGCGTGAGAATCCTGATTAAAATAATATGATTTGAGGACTGTGTGGTTGTGAAGGTGTCTCTGTCAGCATTAGGTTGGCCTTATAGTATGTCATGTAGTTGTAATGGTGACATACCAACATTTTCTGTGTTCCTACATTCGATAAAGGACCAACAGTCTTTACTGGGTTTTTTTGGCTCGTCAGTTTTTAAATGTCACTTGCGATATTTTTGTCCAGATTTAAAAATATGATAACTGTAGTGTTGTTTTTGTAGTACGTGTTCGAGAGATCTCATGTGGTGTTACATGATTATCTGGAAGCGAAATGTCCATGAGTCACCGTGTAAACCTTTGTTTTGTTCACATTTTGATCTAGATTTATTGAATTTAAGTTTGAATTTCATGTAAGAAAATGTTGGTTTACTTATTTTTTCAGGTTCTGAGTTTGCCTTCTCTTTTCCTGATTTTTCTTTTGTTTATCTGTTCTATTCTTATCCGTGAGATGACATTTCTTTTTTTCATATACTACTTAGTGTTTTAGAAAAAAAATGGATCTAAAATGTTACCTTTTAACAACTTGCTGATAATGTTCAATAAATGAAAATGTTGAGGAAAGTTAATGAACAATCATAATTAGATAGGTTAAAGTCGCCGAGGGTACATGTTTGCCTGTTTCCTGGAATCTGTTCCAAGGATTGTTCCAGCAGAGTTTTACTTTCCATGTTATTTTATGCGACAATGCTGTTGGATTCTTCCAATTATTATTCACATCTAGTAGAGATTTGAGGTTTTCCTCAGGGATAGCTTGATGTGAGATAGCTAGGAATACACCCATCCCACCTTTGATTTTCGTATCTGAATAATGAAGACTTTTTTATTTCCTTATTAAACCAGTATGATGTCATGTTTCTCTTGGTCTGGTGTTGTTCCGGGGTTTCATTTTGTAATAAGTTTGCAAATCATGTTGGTGATGATGAGGCGGTTTTTGATCAGAGATAGAAGGTAAGCAGTGTCACACTACCGACTCTCTGATATCATATCGTATGTGTCAGTGATCACACCTTGGCAGTCCATGTTATGTCTCTGGTGGCCGTGTTCATTTTCATACTTTACCACCGCCAGGTCACTTCCTCGTTAAATTGTCTTCAGCCGTATAAAATGTTGGCACTTAACTTCATGGATGGGTTCTAGAAGGACGAAGCAGCTGTATGATGCAGTTTCATTCATTGTTTGGCTCTACTGTACCACTGATGGGTCCTGAAGGACGAAGCAGCTGTATGATGCAGTTTCATTCATTGTTTGGCTCTACTGTACCACTGATGGATCCTGAAGGACGAAGCAGCTGTATGATGCAGTTTCATTCATTGTTTGGCTCTACTGTATCTTCTATCAATTTGTACTTACGTACAATCTTGCATATATTGTGTGCGGAATCCGGGTTAAGGTGATATGTGATGACTGATTTTAGAAGGCTATAAAACAATATTAGCTGAGTCTTACTGCTTGATTTGTGACACTTCAAGATTCTAAGCCTATTCAGGGGGCAGGAGCAGATGACGTGTACATAATATAATAAAAGTAATCCATTTCGATGTACTTGAAAGGACTTGAGTGTAGTTTTTTAAAAACAATATTTATGGTGGTAGACACCGACAAAATTGATTAAAGTATAGGGTAAGTGCACTTTCGCATCTAGATTTTGGCATTTCTTTTGATCAATATTTCCTTATTCGCCCTACGAGGTGCAAACTTAAGGCTCTTAATCTAAACGGTCGAGTCTTTGAAACAGCAGTATAATGGAGGTTAATCAATTATTAGTCTCTAACTCTTAATTTGTATTAAATACTGCTATCATTTGTGCGTCCTTTTGTGTGTGAACGAAAATTAAAAAAAAAAAAACAACAAAACGATTGAATGCAAATATTGATCGACATATTTCATATTCTTTCCTGAATACTCCATTAACCGATTGGGTTGATTTTGTAATTTTGTAATAGTGCTAGTTCTCATTGTTTGTACTTAAATATATAAACATTTCAAAAGTCTAACTGATGTGCGGCTACAATATTTTAGTGTGTGTGTTCTGGTGCAAAATTTTCTTTTATGTATACATTATACACACATGACACGTGATATGTTGTGTTTTCTATTTAGTCCATGTGTCACGTGATGCGTTACATTGTATTTAATGTTTAGTCCATTTTGCATGGTTTGAACACATGAAACATATAGAAACATTTATTAAAATCATAGTGTCTAATTTATAATCAATAATATTGTAAACATTTGATTATTTGTCCGTTTATTAACACAATTGTATAACAAAACAATAATAAAATACAACAACAGCTTAGATAACCGTAACCCTGGCGTCTGTTAGTACAGATATATATAATCACCAGAGTATTCAGACTGGATCACGGTAAACTTGTCACAAACTCTGCAGCTTCACCACCACTGGAAGTTAAATTGCAATATCGTACAGATTTAAAATCACAATCTAGATACTAGACAATTAAAACAGTCGGACAATGTTTGGAAAATAAAGGAAAATATTGAAAGAAATTAAACTGAAACATCACAATGGTTGATGGCCCATGACATATAATTGTTTTACATTTTTGACCGTAATGTGACAAATACATTATTTGTGTAGTACCGTATCATAATTCCATCACCAGCCTAAAACTTCTAGAGTGAAGTATGAAATATTTAGGGACATTTTGAAAAATGTGTGATAACATTTCACGTACATGTAGTTCATTACAATCAAGCTAAAGCCCGATATCACCAATAGAAGCAATAAATGTATATTATAATATTGAAATTAATATAATCAAATCAATGTGGGTGGAAATTGATGATACATTATGTGTTTCATGAATCAAATGAAAAGTTACAAACACTTACCCCTCAATATGTATCAAAATTACAATTCCATTCAATAATATTTTTAAATGTAAACCAAGGGAGACAACTACAACATGGCTTTAATGGTAGGGTTGTGACTAGAAATGCATATAGACACAACGTACACAAATGAACAGATAATATAACTGATACATTAAATAACTCTTTCCGCTGACTATGATGATATTAATTATAATTGTGATTAACTAGTTAACTGGTCTAACATACTTACACCACGTGTTCATTCTTCCAGATCACGTGACCACCTTTTTCTGAGATAGTTTGACTATTAATTGCTGCAGAGCAAACAGGGAGGCTCTGAAAACAGCGAAAACATCAATAGAACGGGATACTGATGTTTTCTAATAATACTTGAAGTCATGATATTAAAAAGCAAACTTGAGAAAAGTATATTTCGTTGTATAATGACATGATATCTACACAGTTATCACTGTAAGGGTTTTATTTTTTAGGGTATTAAGGTTTTGTTCTTCTTGATCTCGACAAAAATAATAAATATAATGATATGTTGAAAATATTGTTAATTGGGAAACATCGTCAGATTCATGATTGCCATTCACTTTTGATGTGATTAATTAAATGAATTGTCAATTATACAAGAAGAACTCATTTAAACAGAAGGCAGGAGAAGGGAGACTACTCTTAGTTATTATTACCAGTGAGAATCGATGCGCATGGAGCTGATGAGTGGCGTCCAAATCTGTACAACCGGGTGGACAGTCTCCTCTAAAATGTTAAAAAAAATATGACCGAGCATGACGTGATAGAATTTACGAGTTACGAGATCTTCATACGACACCACATTGACAGAAAAGAAGTTTCTAAATTATAAATTTAAAAACAAATGCTTCATTTTACAACAATGTTAGCCAAACTGGCAAGGTATAACAATGACACCACCACAGTTGAGTGATATGGTCGTTCACAGACTACTGAGACACATTTACATAAGTCTTTATCCTATCTCCATTCTATTTTATCACAATGACTGTATAATTAACGAGGTAACGAAGTGGATTAAGACATCAAACTTACCCGCACATCGCTTTATCATTAGATGTGCAGTCAGCGAATGACGTGGCACATGTCAGATTGTCAATCCGCTGGTAGACTGTGGAAAATACGAATGAAATCTTTACTTACAGTCAAAATGATGAAATGACAAAGTACCAATAAGGACGTGAATCCGTATCCTTATCATTAGATAACTAAAACTCAAAAGGCAACAAAATACACTATCCTTTGATATCAATCATGAAAAGAATAAATAGATGCAATTAATTGTTTGATTTCACGTGAATTATTGATTAAGTTTGCTGTTTAAAACGTTAAAGAGTCTAATTAAGGTATTTTTCAAAACAACTTTCAACAAAAGTAACTTATATCTGGCTTTATTCACCTCGTATATACTCGACGATTTCCCGATTAACCTTTCTCATGTTTATCTTTTTATCTCGATTCTGAGTTTGAAGTCAACTTTTCTTGTCGTGTCGACATTCTCTAGTTGTTTTCACAGGAGACTGTTTATCTTTTCTTCCCTTGTAAAATTACTGACATGTTTCACTTACCGTAGAAATTGGTTGAAACTGTACCCTTACTGGTAGATGCCTTACATCGGTACTCTCCGGTGTTAGAGGCGGACTGGACATAGAAAACTAGATTACCAGACGGAAGGACGCTGTGTGTTGGGAGTAATCCATTGACCTTTGAGTAGGTCAAGGTCACGTTACTGGCATGGGTTACCTCACACACATTGTTCACAGACTCACCAATGGCCACGCCGATGACCTTCTCACGGGCGATGATGTGAGGGGCATCATCTAAGATATATATAATTGTATGTATCACCTAACTACTGGATGTTTTCATATTACATACTGATTGTAGAAGAGGGCAACCGTACAGGAGGACCTCGCATCACAAGTATCACGATAGGTTCTCTGTATGCTAATATGAAAACAAAGGAAAGCCAAGAAAAAGTTGAACACATTATCTAGAAATCTAAATATAGATGCAATGAAGAAGAATGCCGTTATTCTGAGAACCACGTTTGATAACATTATCCGTTTTATCCTATTGATCCGTAAAACCCTCACCACTAACACGACTACCTTCTTCTCTACTTGGTATTCAAGATGGTAGAAAGACATTTTCATAAAGATTGAAATCATTTAAGAAGTTAATTTGTAAATGATTACCTTCTACTGTAACTATAACGGTTTTCTCCACAGAGCCGAGGGCATTTTCAGCGTGACATTTGTATGTCCCGCTGTCTTGTACCTTTATGTCACGTAAAATCAGTCCTGATGACGTCGACGTACCATGTGACGTCACCAGCGTCTTGTTACCCAAGTCTTTGACCCAGCTCACAGTGGGAGCTGGATATCCACTGTTGGTCCTACATGGTAAAAGGATCGTGGCCCCTACCCTGGCACGCACGGTAAACATATCTCCTCCCTGGAAGTGAGGTACCGCTGAGGACAGACCATAGAAATCATCTTATACTGTATCGCTCAAAATTAAGTATTATTGATAATATTAATTCTTACGAATCTTCTCGAAATTGTACAGTGTTGATTAAGAATTTTATGAATAATTTATACAGACTTGTGTGCTTGATAACTCACAGAGCATGTTACAGCAGTTACTGGAAAGACCTGTGGCCCCCTTTTCCCCTTGAGCCCCAGTGTCTCCCTTCGGACCCATTGCTCCGACATTTCCAGACAGACCTGGCACACCCATGTCACCCTTTTGTCCTATGTCGCCCTGTAGGTGGAAAACATATGTATATCATCATATGCTTAGAGTAAATCTTAAATATGCTTAATACTTAATGCTGACTGTCAAACAAATGAAATGTATTTTAAATCATAGGGAAATTGCAACAACATTGTTACCTTCGTTCCTGCTGCTCCCTGGCCACCTGGAGCCCCAACAGGTCCCTGTTCTCCCTTCAATCCTCTAGGGCCAAAGGGACCATCGCTCCCCGTCTCACCTTTTAGCCCTTGAGTTCCGATATCACCTTTTTTCCCGTCGGCTCCTTGGGGACCTATCAACGACAGAAAAGTTTTGACACAATGAGCCATGCAGTTACGAATAAGGTAGCCATATGTACTATCCCTTTCCATATAGATTAAGAATTTGATACAATAAAGCCAAATTAAATGAAGAAATAAATTGTATAACATTGCTGCAGTTTCAGCCTTCTAGGACTCCTGAGTGATGTATGGAGTCGTCTGTTTCGTTCCTTTAGGACTCCTGAATAATGTTAGGAATCAGAGCTGTTTCGTCCCTTTTGGACTCGTAAGTGATGTTAGGGGTCATCTGTTTCGCTCCTTTAGGACTCGTGAATAGTGTTAGGAATCAGAGCTGTTTCGTCCCTTTTGGACTCGTAAGCGATGTTAGGGGTCATCTGTTTCTTCCATTTAGGACTCGTTAGTGATATAAAGCGTCAGCTATTTCGACCCTTTAGGACTCGTGAAAAATGTTAGGGGTCAGCTGTTTCGCCCTTTTAGGACTCGTGAGCAATGTTAGGGGTCAGCTGTCTCGTCCTTTTACGGACTCATGGGTGATGTTAGGAGTCAATTGTTTCGTCCCTTTAGGACCTGTAAATGATATTAGGTGTCAGCTGCTTCGTCCCTTAAGAACTCGCTAGCGATGCTAAGGGCTAAAATCTTACTCTCCTTTATTGTTTTATAATAAACAGGGACAGTTTTTGATATAATATAGACACATTGCTGCTGATTCGGTGTTCTAGTGCCTTGAATGTCTTGATTGCCCTGTTAGATGGCAACAGCCAACAACATACATCCCAGGGTTGTAAGAGGTGCAGGTTGTTGCTGATCACCATCTGAATCTTGTTAGCTGACGTCATCCTAACGGATAACATTATTATCCTCTTTTAAAGGAGACCCTTTGGTCTAGAATAATTGTACTTTATTTCTTTGAAAAAAGTACCTTGCGGTCCTGGTGGTCCTTGATTCCCCTTAATTCCGATTGGTCCAGAAGGGCCGAAAGGCCCAATCTCCCCTTGTTCACCTTTGACCCCTGCAGTTCCTTTGGTTCCTGTGGGACCTTTATCGCCTTTGGCACCAGCAGGACCAGTAGTTCCCTGCACACCAGGTTCACCCTGTTCAATAAACAATGACATAATCAAGTATCTTTTCTATGTACAGTGTACTTATCTTTATATTCATATATACATGCAGAAACTACACACGTTACATTCGTTAAAATCCAGGCGTTCCTAAAATTATTATGCAAATTTAACTGGAAGAAACTGCAAAGAAATGTACCTGAAAACATATAAATCTGGATTCGCAAATGACTGTCAAGTAGAAAGTTCAATTGTTGAAATCCTTGCTGATTTCTGTATTCTTATCGTCCAAATTGTACCCACCTTCATACCCTGAGACCCTTGGACCCCTTTCTGTCCTGTCAGACCTACTGGTCCTACTGTCCCTTGTTGTCCTTTGACTCCTGTCGGGCCCTGTGCTCCTGCATCCCCTTTGTCACCCATTTCACCTTTTGGGCCAATCGGACCCATATCCCCCTTGGTTCCATCAAACCCGCTAAAAATAGTACACTGATTAATTCTGCTTAATAAGTCAAATTGTTAAAAGAAACACGTCGAGTGGTATAAACGTATATTGAAATATAAAGCAGTATGGTTACTTAAGAATTAAGTGTTTACAACCTGTTGAGATATATGCAATTTCAGAGACGCCTTAATCAGGCCGAGGAATTTAATACTGTAGGGTGGTATATTTAACACGAGAGAAACCTGTCATTGACATACCATTACTGGCTAGTATTTCATTGCTGTCAAATTCATCCAGACCTGTGCATTTATCGTTTCACAACACACGAGCATCAAACAGTTTCTGAAGAAACTAACATCACTTTAATTGTATATCACTCCTACTTACTTTATACCTGGCTCGCCTTTAATTCCTGCCGGACCGAATGGTCCTCCCGGTCCAATTTCCCCCTTAGTACCTGGGGGTCCGGGGATTCCCTTTGGTCCCTGTAGACCTTGAATGCCTGTCAGACCTGTATCCCCTGTATAGAGAATACACATCATTTAACTTTAACATAAAAATAAAGAATAAAGGACTTTAACGGAACCGCACTGCAGTATCAGGATATCAACATCCACACAAAATATACTACAGTAAACTTAATAGCTGGTACCGTAACTCTTCATCACAAAGGAACAAAGGCAGCTGTAAACTAGAGTTTTATTACTTATTCAGCAATCTTTGTAGTAACTTAATTCATATTTTATATATACGTCTTATGAAACTTTCCACAAATGTTTTGCAGTTGCCTTACATCACTTCTTGATATTTCGCACTATTTGGCCATTGCATTTATTCTGTTGTATTTATTCCTTTTACGTACCCTTTGCCCCTGCCGGACCTTGGGTTCCATTAACCCCATTGTCGCCCTTTGGCCCCGAAGGTCCCTGTAACCCTTGCAGGCCTGGTGCCCCTTGATCCCCCTTGGTACCTTGAGGTCCTGTCAATCCTGTTGAACCGACATCTCCCTTGTCACCACGGGGACCGCTGTCCCCTTTAAATCCACTCAAGCCTTGTAGACCGTCATAGCCTCGTTCTCCTTTGACCCCAGGTTCACCTTTTGGACCTGTAATTCAATAGATGTCATATGACTGGTGTATTGTGCCTTTACATATTCGTGATCCTTGACAATATAATTACATATTGTGTAGAGCTATAATATTATAAACTGAACTGAGAAAGAATATGAGTGCTTGAGACATGTTGGTAGTCACACTTGCAGTTATCTTTACTGTTACCAATTTTCAATGCGTGTGTCGTCGATGAAGAAGACGATGCTTCACCTTCAAAAGCACCTGGTCTCTCCAACGTTCTTTTCTGTGGTCTTGTTTTGTTCATATTTGAACCACGTATTATCAACATGATATGGTGATCTTGGTATTTTCTTGTAAAATATATGTGTGCCTTGAAATAATTTTCATAGAATTTCAAACTACTGGAACATGGAACTACGACGACCCGCCGCATGTGTATCTATGATAATGTTTTTTCGTTTTAACCTACCTGGTCAGCCACATCTTCAACACCGTTTTCTTCTATTTTGTGACCTTCCTGCCATCCTCAGCATCTTCTATATCACTTTTACTTCTCCTATTTGACCCACCTGGTGCCGCCGGACTTGCGACATCGGTTTTTTCTCCATTTTTCTTCTTTTTGACTTATCTGCTTCCACAATATCGTTTTAAACTCTTTTTTGACATACCTGGTCCCGCCGGACCTGCGATACCGTTGTCTCCTTTCTGTCCCATGTCTCCTTTGGTTCCTACATCGCCTTTCTGTCCCACGTCTCCCTTGGTTCCTACATCGCCTTTCTGTCCCACGTCTCCCTTGGTTCCTACATCGCCTTTCTGGCCCATCGCGCCAGGTTCGCCTGTCAGTAAAATATGTTTGTTATGTTTTTGATTTGCCCCATTCCACATTTTCGAATTACCGGAAGATATTAAAAGACCAAGTATGACGACTTTAATGACAATTTACAATGTAAAACCTTTTATAATGCATCGATTCAGCAGTCTAGATAGAACAAATGACAACACCAAAATGATAAGAATGAGGCCTGGAACGTTTGTGTGGATGGCTTCAATTTAAGCGAGATCATTTAGAACAATTATGTGTTGGTTTGTGTATATATGACCAATTAAAGTGTGTGTGGGATTCCCTAAATGTTCCAATAGGCTAAATAATCATAAGAATAAACTCATTATTTAGTTTTTTTTAAAAAGATTCACTACATACATGGAAGTATATGCTTTATTCCTACAAATATTTTCACAATGTCTGGTGTGTTTGTCAACTGTATAGTTTCGGCACAGTAGAGGGAGTAAATACACAATTAATCAGTGTAAGCATTAATTCAAGTATTACTTTAGGATGATTTAGTATCTGTTCATTTTTAATTGGCAGTGAAATAACTTCTCACGTTCATTACAGCATATTTTAAATGTTGTAGTAACATTTTACCTCTCATTCGCTTAATTCAATATGTTATTATTATCATCTTCATATCTAAATCTGCAGCTAAATTCTGTTTATTAACATGTTTTTATACAATAGAATATTTTGAAATAAAAGATAAATCGATATCATCTTGCGATCGTTTTTAATGAAATCGTCGACATATCGATAAGTTAAGTAATTTTTAATCAATACTCACCCTTCTGTCCCGGTTGTCCTTGGTTTCCCTGCGGGCCAGGTACTGTTATTTTGAAAGTGGAGATAAAAGTTAATAAATTATTCATTGCCTCAAAACTTTTTTTTGCATTCAACATAACTTGTCAGTACAATATGTATATAAATACTTAGGACATTTTTTATGCTGTCGTTATTTGTTTAAAGGCTATTGAAATAACAGTATATCTTTTGCATATCATTTCTGATAATTGAATATTTCATCAAATTAAACCCAATGACATGTTCAGACATCAACAGTTTGTGTTTTTTATTGTTGAAAAAAAATCATGATATAAGAGAACTGAGATGAATTACACTATCACTATGATAGATAACTTACCTGCCACACAAAGGGATTGATTGTTCACACATCGCTGCTGAAACAGACTATCCTGCCAAAGATAGCAACACAGCATTAATTGAGGTTTAGATAGATGATTACCCTTGTTACTTGATGGTAATATATTCAGAACACATAATGCAGTCTATAACTCTAGGGTAGCTGTTCAGGTCTCCAGAACACTGACTTTCGTCGGTGGGACAACACCTGAAGGGACACAGGGACGGAAACCATTTAACCAACCAATTAAGAATGGATCAGGTAGACAGGAAAACACTCTTATTTGAATTGTTAGTCATGATGAGGTCCAGGTCGACACATTCCCAATTTTTATGAGAACAACTCGCCATCGATGACTTTTGAAACAAACTATCTAGTTGTCAGAAAACAAGACATGATTAAAAGGAGGTAAGTTAAAAGGTAAAGATGCTCTATTGTAAACATCCTTTCTTGTGAGCCGGATAGGCCTGATAGTACAGTGTATATCAGATGATGTATTCATCATTATTTTTTATGTTGGACTCGGAATTTATTCTCCAAGAAAAGGCAAGACACACCATATTGGCAATAACACATACCATATCGATCATTGAGTGTTTAAATTGTTTTGTTACTTTTATTATCATTTTACTGCCATCAGAAGATTTCCTAGATGTAAAAAAAAGGTTTGGGTCTGATGTTGCAGCCCTTGCTGTATGTAGTAGTTAACAAAGAAATAAGGTCATCAGGCGGAGAAAGAGGACGTACTTACCACATAAGGTAACAATGCTGATATAACAGTCTGGTTTAGGGTCACACTGGGTACAGCCTGCCGTTTATGTCTCTCTTGGTTCTCCAAATGGCCTTTCTGGGGAAAAAAAAGTTGTAACAGTTCTAAACACGTATGGTGGTCGGATTGTACAATAGATATCGTACATGCCTTTTATCTAGCTTCTATCATATTAATCTATTTTATAACAAAAACAAATATCAACATATTTCCACTTATTCAGCATATGATATGGAGTGATCGAACAAAGCAGGATTAAATTACCTTCTCGGTGAGCAAAAGGTTGCAGACTCTAAAAGGATATCTGAAGACATACCTGCTCAAGAATGCTGTCACACGGACATCGTTCCTGAAGTAACTGTAGACGGGTTTGGATGTTGACTATTTCCACCATCTGATAGGTTGCTATAGCGGCGATAGTAAGGCTGATGATGAAGAGGATGATGATGGGTAAGTTGCTTGTTTCATCCTTCCGCTCCTGTTTGGCCGTCATGATGTTCAGTCAATGTGATGACCAGCTGACCAGCTATCCACAAAGGTAAATGGACATGACGTATCTGGATACTCATACTCTTATCATTACAGGAGTTGGTCATTGTGTTAATTGTGTCATACGTCTTTATCTTGATAAAGCAGAATCGGTGTATATATATATATTACTATCTAGAAATTTTGATGTGTTGCGTGCGTAAGAAATAATGGAAACCGTTTATACTTGCAGTCGTCAAAATGCCATGCTATATAAATCTGCTTTTTAGACATTCTAATTTGTACTGGTGCATATGTGAAAACACCACCAACAATACTGTTGTGTTTACAAACAGTTAATCACAATAATACAAATGACCATGATTGACTCATCATCACAGCAAGCATCCCAACCCTATGAGAGTACTGTCAGAAAAATAAATCATAAGTCAAATTAAAAAACGAACGGAAATGACAAGGTTAACATGGTTGAATTTTTTGACGGAGTAAAGCTAATATGTAAACGCATTGTTCTACACCAACTGCGCTAGAGATATTATTATAATAGAGTTATCATGTATGACAATAGTAACTAATTTTGGATTTGAATACTTTCCAAGAGTTTAGCTGGATAGAGGTTGAACAATAAATTGGACAGTTACTAAAAATATTGGTTACAATACAAGAGGCCAGGACAAGAGCTGAGATACCATCTGCCCTCAATTGACGTTTAACATTTTAAAAGATCAAGTGAACTCACTTTTACCCGGCAGTTGATTGAGAACGGCAATGCGTATGACAAACGTTGTGTGGAAAAGCTGCCGCAGCTGCTGATTTCCTTCAAATTTCGCTGCAATTTTAACGCAGTTACTACGATTCGTGTGCATTTTACTAGGCTTGCTTTTTATTGGTGTTAATCTGAGATTTTCTAGCTAATAGTGTTTAGAACGTTACTATGTTATGGTGACAAAGTTATGGCTACTTTGTTCTATACGCAAATGCACCGAGAAACACTTGATTTGTTATCTTGGACCAGCTGTGTGGAACCCATTCACTTAAGCCACTTTACAATAAAAAAAAACGGGCAACGGTTAAGCCTATTATAGCAGATACCTTGTAGAATAAAGAAATATGCCAGAAACATGAAATGTTTGTTTACTTATCTTTGGTCACCCCTAAAATACCCACAGAAGACACCAACAGTTTACAACATATTCATGGAACACACCAATAGAGTTTACAAAATACCCTCGGAACACACCAATAGAGTTTACAGCATTCCTCCGGAACACAACAACAAAGTTTACACCATACCCCCGGAACACACCAACAAAGTTTACAGCATACCCCCGGAACACACCAACAGAGTTTACAGCATACCCCCGGAACACAACAATAGAGTTTACAGCATTCCCCCGGAACACACCAACAAAGTTTACAGCATACCCCCGGAACACACCAACAGAGTTTACAGCATACCCCCGGAACACAACAATAGAGTTTACAGCATTCCCCCGGAACACACCAACAAAGTTTACAGCATACCCCCGGAACACACCAACAAAGTTTACAGCATACCCCCGGAACACACCAACAGAGTTTACAGCATACCCCCGGAACACAACAATAGAGTTTACAGCATTCCCCCGGAACACACCAACAAAGTTTACAGCATACCCCCGTAACACACCAGCAGAGTTTACATCATACCAACGGAACACACCAACAGAGTTTACAGCATTCCCCCGGAACACACCAACAGAGTTTACATCATACCCCCATAACACACCAACAGAGTTTACATCATACCCCCAGAATACACCAACAGAGTTTACATCATACCCCCAGAACACACCAACAGAGTTTACATCATACCCCCAGAACACACCAACAGAGTTTACATCATACCCCCAGAACACACCAACAGATTTTACATCATACCCCCAGAACACACCAACAGAGTTTACATCATACCCCCAGAACACACCAACAGAGTTTACATCATACCCCCAGAACACACCAACAGAGTTTACAACATACCAACGGAACACTCCAACAGAGTTTACATCATACCCCCAGAACACACCAACAGAGTTTACAACATACCAACGGAACACACCAACAGAGTTTACATCATACCCCCAGAACACACCAACATAGTTTACATCATACCCCCAGAACACACCAACAGAGTTTACATCATACCCCCAGAACACACCAACAGAGTTTACATCATACCCCCAGAACACACCAACAGATTTTACATCATACCCCCAGAACACACCAACAGAGTTTACATCATACCCCCAGAACACACCAACAGAGTTTACATCATACCCCCAGAATACACCAACAGAGTTTACATCATACCCCCAGAACACACCAACAGAGTTTACATCATACCCCCAGAACACTCCAACAGAGTTTACATCATACCCCCAGAACACACCAACAGAGTTTACAACATACCCAATATACCCGTAGACATTAATGTTAATGAGCCAGTTATTAGGTATTTTCCTTCACTTTATCACACATAACGGACATGGTTCAGAGGCGTGAAGGCGCAATGGATTCTGGTGGATGCAGAGTGAAATACAATGTAATACAGCCATTGTAACCTTGATGCAGGCTGTATCAGAGTGCCCCTGTATCTATAGGTATGGATACATATATATACAATACTGTACGGTATATTCTTGGCAATGTTGGTCTAACTTATTTATGATTTAGGAAGACTACTTAATATATCTTTTGCAAAAGGATAAAATGTTTGTGGTCACACACAAATCTCCCAATTTACCATTACCTGCCCAAAGTCCTTATAAGGCAAACCCTACTTTGTATTTGGCATTCACTGCTTTAAATGATTAAATATGAACATTCTAAAATAGGCAAAGTTAATGGCAAATGAACTTTATGTTGTCTGGAAATACTGATTACCAAGTTATACCTGTCTGAAGCTCACTGTGGGTGTGATAAAATTTGACATTTATGGAGAACACTAAGGGTGAAATAAAACTTTACCTGTATCAAAAACACTGTGGATGTGATCATTTTTTACCTGTAGGGAAAACACTAAAGGTGTGATCAAATTTTGCCTGTAGGGAAAACACTAAAGGTGTGATAAAATTTTACCTGTATGGGAAACATTAAGGGTGTGATAAAATTTTACCTGTATGGAGACAATAAGGGTGTGATAAAATTTTACCTGTGTGGGAAACATTGAGGGTGTGATAAATTTTTACCTGCATGGAGACCATAAGGGTGTGATAAAATTTTACCTGTGTGGGAAACATTAAGGGTGTGATAAAATTTTACCTGTATAGAGACAATAAGGGTGTGATAAAATTTTACCTGTATGGAGACAATAAGGGTGTGATAAAATTTTACCTGTATGGAGACAAGGGTGTGATAAAATTTTACCTGTATGGAGACAAGGGTGTGATAAAATTTTACCTGTATGGAGACAATAAGGGTGTGATAAAAGTTTACCTGTATGGAGACAATAAGGACTTTAGGATTTGTCTGTATCGAGTTACAACATTTTATTGTGTATTGTGACATGTTGTATAAATACCTGCTGATTCACGTACGGCATTTTCCCACCAGAAATAAAACTATTCCCTTATCATTGGTCAGTTTGACCCTAGTCGCCGAATATACAATCTATTTATAATCACAGAGTACTGTAAACCTGAACAAACCAGGTCAAGTGTTAGAAAATACGATCCAGTTACAGGAATAACGATCCAAGTTTAAAAGCTCTTCCAGAGATTTACTGAATTTAGAAAAAGAACCGCCAAGTTACAGTCGATAATCACCTGAATCTGTAATCCTTTTACCTGAAAATTTTATAAGTTTAAAATTCTGCACCAAACCAAATATTTCGATGGTATGATAAAGAATTCAGAGTAGCGAAGATCAAACGATGGCAAAACATGTCACAATGTCAGCTCACAAAAATAGAATACTTACATAAAACAAGATATAAAAACACGAATCAAGTTATTGAAAAAATATGTCTTACTTGAAATCAATGAAAAGTATACGGCCTGATCGGGAGAAGACATCTTTTTATTGTCTAATGTTTTACCAAAGTAATTTCAATTTTATATTAGTTTACCATAATGATAAATCGGTGTTTCTTTTTCAAAATGTACCAACACGTGCAATTCAAAATTAAGTTGAATTAAATCAGAGGCAAAATATGCAAGAAAGAAATATTTACATGGAGACTCCTGAAAAGTACTAACACAACGCTTTCCAAAATAATACCGTACCCAAATTGACACCTTTTACGGAAAAAAAATGTGTCCGTCGACCCTTGCGAATGAAATATACAAGAATTCACACTGATTATGTAAAAATAACAACAACTAGGTGTTTATTCAACACTGATTTATTGTACAAAGCATCTAAGTTTCTCTGAAAGACCCTTTCCAATGGACAAAAATGAATAAATGTTCCTATCACAAAGCATACGGTCAATGCGACAGGTATTTTTTCCTTTTGGTCAGTATTAAACATAACAAAGTAATCTGTTATTATATAATACACTGAAAAATCCAGAACAGTCACATTCGTGTAGAAAATATCTGAGGTTATTTTCAGTGGTTCGATTTTGTATCGATGAGCCACGACTATTGTCGTCTCATCCATCGTGTCTACAATGCTCTGCGCATGTCGCCACTAAAATACACAAGGTGCCCGGAGGAAAATTACGGTATGCTCTTCGTGGCATGAGAGCTGCTTTTGCTTGCTAAGCTGCAATTCATGAATTGTCTGTGAATTCTGAAATATTGTTTTCCTATTAATTAGTGTTGACAATGAACCCAAACTTTTTAGACTAGTATACAGCATTATTTCTTCTACTGAAATCTTCTTAATATACCAATAACAATCACTTGTTGAATGTCTAGGTGTGTGTATAAGAGGTAAAATTGATCTTTTCTCGTTTGTTAGATAATAACACAATTTAATCAGATAACTAACCTTTCAAATGTATTCAGGGACCTTCATCTA